TAGTTCTTTTTGCATTAGTAGATGCAAATTATAGGATCCTTTATGTGAATGTTGGGAGTAAGGGCAGAATATCAGATGGAGGCGTGTTTAAAAGCACAAAGCTATATGAGAAACTTGAAAAAAAGGAGCTAAACATCCCATCGGCAAAAATTTTGCAAGTTCCTTATAAAATTGAAGTGCCCTATTTTATACTTGGTGATAAAGCTTTCCAATTAAATGAGTATACATTGAAACCGTATGAAGGTGATCCAGAAAGGGGTTCGAGTGAACGAATATTCAATTACAGATTATCAAGAGCACGTAGAGTTGTAGAAAACGCGTTTGGAGTACTAAGCTCATGTTACAGAGTATTGCGTAAACCAATGTTGTTGGAGCCAGAAAAAGCAACTAAAGTCGTGCTAGCGGCAGTTTACCTGTATAACTATTTACGAAGTAATTCTAATTTAAGATCACCGGTATCTTTTGATACAATACAGGGGAATGGAGAAATAGTTCTTGGAAGCTGGCGAACGGAACAGGCACTAAGATCACTACTACCGATAGATGCCATACCACGAAGAGCATCACAAAATGCCAAAGATATTCGGTCCCACTTAGCAAGACACTTTATAACAAACGGGGCCATTGTTTGGCAAAATGAGTACCAATAAACTTATATAAATTTTACTGTGTTTATATGTTTTATAAGTTAGCTGCATTAATAGGAATATAATGTAGTTCAGTTCATTACACTTTAACCAATTAACTATGTATTTTATTTAAAACTATCCTGTCCCTAAGTTCTACATTATAATCAATACAATTATAATAAAATTGTAAACTTCGCAATTCTGTACATTGAAAATAAATGCAAAAAAATGTGTTCGGGGGATGAAGGATAAGTGATAGAATTCATTAAGAACATTTTTGGAATTTTTGTCTGTTTGTTGGTTTGTCGGTTTGTTTGTGCACGCATCACGCTAAAACGGCTGGACCGATTTCGATGAAACTTGGAACATATATAGTTCATTACCTGGGTTAACATATAGGCTACATATAATCACGCTATGACAAAAGGGAGCTGGGCAGCGGGCAAAGCCGCATAGGTCTACTAGTAAGAAATAAATTTTATTACATAAATACAAATACATACTATACTTTATTGATATTATTGACACCAAAAGAAAACATTACCTACACAGATAACACAAAATAATACAAACAAATTTAAGCCAATAATTATAATTATAATATAAGTTCGTCTACTGCTATAACATCTACCTTTACTTTAAGAATTAATATTCTAATAATTTAATTATACTTTAATGTTAACCTGTTAAGTTTTTTAATCAAAATAAAATTATAGGTTAAGTAAAAACTACTCACCTGTTGGAGTGTATCCCTTGTTGTCCCGGGGTCATTCTTATCCGCCATGAAAGCAAACTCATCGTAAGCAAACCATTTTGATTTGTAAGTATCTTCAGCACCTGAAATAAACAATAAATTAATATAACCGGCAAATATCAATGTCCGTGAAGTCTCCCCTACCCAAAACTTTTAAACATTTAAGTATATCTTTTTATCACCAACTAAGTTACGTTACTACGTTGTGGAGTTTTAAACAATACATTTTATTATTATTACTAATAAATCAAAATAAAGCTTCACTAAGAGTGGCAGGTTATGTACTGAACTATAATTATAACACAAAAGGAACTACCTATAATTTCTTACCTGATCCGGTAATACGACTCTGTTTTTCTCTGAATCGTTCTCTTCTGTAGCCACCCGACAAAGACTTCATTTTTTTCTTTAGTTCTGTCGTTGGAATATTGTTCATTTGCCGACTAATTTTCCGCCAGGCATCTTCTCTTACACCTCTATTTGTGTAATTGGTATCGTTAGGATCCCATAAACATTTATTCTCCCTATATAGGGAATTTAAACGGATACATTGCGAATTATCCATAACGGCGGATCACGCGATTCTCACAACCGAACCGTCCAGACCGCGCGCGCCAAGCGACTGAGGCACCTTTGAGTCTGGCCAAAAAACCGACAACAAATGGATCGCACGCGGCGAGGAGCGCGCGCTCTCCGCCGCGCACATGGATCGCGCGCGGCACGTCTACACTTCACGCTCCGTGGAGCGCGCTCCATGCCGCGCGCGATCGGAGCGCTTTGGATCGTCCGGTGTGGATCCGGCTAATGAGTCTGTAGTACTCGTTACGTCTATTCGACAGACAGAGACCAATATCTGCAAAATTGTTGAAATATGCATCTGACTTGTGGGAAATTGGTCCTATTTCGTTACAGGCCAAAAAATAAGCTCTCAAAACTGATCTGATAGGTTTTAAATTGTAAATTTAACTAACGAAATCATAAAAGTATTGTCGTGAAAGAACATTCTCCTAACGGTAGACCATAGTTAAATATTACTAATTTCTGGTAGTGGTGTGTTTATATTAATAAAGTGTTCGACATTTTACAGCCTACGGAATTGTGTTCACTCAGGCAATAGGAGAATAGCTGATGCGGCACAATAGGTTAGTTGACCCTTTTTGGAAAAAGGTTTTAAATGGTTAATAAATGTTCTATTAAACCGAAAAAAATTGTATTTTTTTGAGACCTAGAAAGCTACAAATCTTTAATTTTAAAATATTTTTTTCATGTACATACAAAAACGCTGTCGGCCATTTTAGTCTATAGATTATCTATGCTATGACGTCGACAGTAGTAAACAAAAACTCGTAAGCACGTAGAAAATAACCTATCTGAGTTTATAATAAAAAAAACATGATTTCTAATAAATACCACGAAAAATATAGTAATTATCATTATTGTACTGTACAAGAATGTAAAAACACATCCTTGAAGACTCCAGGAAAGTTGTGGATTAAAGTGCCGAAAGAAATTAACCTACGCAATACCTGTTTAGAACTTGCAAAAAGTGATCCTGCAACTTTATCGACTCATATTAAAATTTATTTTTGCGAAGATCTCTTTGATGTAACTACTCATTGAACAACATTTTAAGTTTAAAATTTATTATCATTTTTAATAATACACTGTAACTGTAATGAATGACATTTAGTTGTTTACTACCAAAGAGACGTCACAATCATGGTGGATGTGGCGAACAGCGTTTTAGTGTTTTAAAGTATAGACTAAAAAATATTTTTTTAAATTAAATTTCTACAGCAATCTTCTGCTTTTATGAAGTGAAATCGATATATTCAGCTTCCTTAGACCAAATACTTTAAGAAATAAACATTTATTTAATACAATTCGACATGAGTCAAGTAGCCTATTATGTCGAATTGGCTATTTTCCAACTGAATCTAGTAATATTTTAACATCAGGTGTGGTGGTGTAAGCCTTGTTTTCCACCGCCAAATAGGAATGACCTAGGGATGCCTAGCGGAGCGGTCTTCGTGTAAATAGAATAGGATTCTTTTCTACCAAGAAAGAGTTCGGCAGTACTGATTCCCTCCGCCAAAGAGGAATGAGTGAAATAAAAGAGCTGAAGGAGATCAACTGAAAATGCCCTATTCTCCCTATCATGACCTACGCGAGTGTTTGCTTCGCCCACGTACCTCCGTCGCGTCTTAAACCACTCCAAACGCTGCAAAATCGTGTGTTGCGCGGTGCCACGGGTTGCCCGTGGTACGTGCACAACATCGATTTGCATCGCGGCCTCAAATTATACTCTATCGCGAAGTATATGAAGGACACCTCGAGGCGTTACTTCGATAAAGCCGCGCATCAACCGAACCCTTTAGTAGTTGAAGCGATTAGATATCATACGTCCGCCCTCCCGTCCTCCAATCGTAAGTCCCTCCGATTCCGTCGTCCTAGGCACGTCTTAGACTACCCCGACAACGAAATCACCCGCGCCACCGCGCCTCCGATTCCTCCCACACAGGCCACAAACACCAACACTATACAGCTAGCAAACGTGCACACTAGCTTAGCATTAGGCAGACACCGCACCCGTAGGATAAGAGTGCGAAGACCCGGTCTACACACGACACGCTATACCAGGTACGGGTACGTACCTGGGCGTTTTTCCCTGCCCCCCACGACAACGGCTAACTGGAGCCGAGGTCCGAGTCTCAGAGACGCCCTCTAGTTGAGCCGACCCCCTCAGGTTCGAGTGGTTTGGAGGCTCCAGACGGAGAGGAGACTCCCCCCGTGGGGAGACGCCATCCGCCTGGAATACCTACAGAGGCACTAACCAATTCTCGGTTTGAGGCCCCTTAGGATCTCGCCGTCCCCAAACCCGGCGACGCTGTAAAGGTCATCTGCGACCAACAACATACACACTCAAAAAAAAAACTGAAAATGAGGAATGAAAACTGAATTTTGATTTCAACAGCATGTTTACTCTTTCGTCAATTTCGCTTGCCTCTTTGCCGAAGGAAAAACTACTGTGTAAAGTTCGATAGCGAGTTGAAAAGACTTGATTTCTCTCCGTTCTCTAGAAATGAGCGAGCTTATATTTAGTGTTTTTACCCTCTTTGTCATTTTTGTTGGCGAAATCTAATGAATGCATTTTTGTACTGCGATGTAAACGGAGACATAAATTTAATATGAGGTGAGTTTATTAGATTACTAGTCAGAACTACGGCTATAATAAACTTCTTTATATTGTTTTGTGCAGAATGGTAGAATTACAAGTACATTCTTGATTGCCATAACAGGAGCTCTATTAAAGTTTTCGGCATTGGTAAGGTTTTCTAAATTGAATGAAAGCGTACAGTTTTTAAAATGTACTTCCAGGGCCCAAGCGGTGATACTTCATACTAGGTTAGGTTGGGTTAGCGTTGTGACCATAACGCACGTGCCGAGCGAGCAAAGCTAGCCCCAGAAAAGAACTATTAAGAGATTTTTTTAAGTAAAATTATAGTATCACCTCTTGGGCCCTGTAAGTACAGTTTCACCTAATTTTTAGATATGGCGATTACCACTTATTAAAAGATGTTTAAACATGTAAAAGTGTCTGGGAACAATTCACTTACAGCAGCTGTACATATTGCAGGATGAACATCTCCAACCTCCACTGAATAGAGTAATGCAGCCATGTTGACCGCACCAATCATCGCATTGGCAAAGCCAAGACCGATAGCACACCATACTGTCTTACAGTAATCGCCTTTGGCCTCAATAACCAATATCTTCAGTGGACCAGCGAATTTCAAATTACCCTTAGAATGTTCCTTGTCTTTCGTGTTGAACGCTGATTTCATATCACTGAAAATAATTTCAACTCTGTCTTCTATAGGCTATTTAAAACATGATTAATCAGATTTGTGGATGTAGTTCTTGTATAATTTCAATTGATTTGTTATTTTTGTGTGTTTGGGGCTTTCTCCGTTTCACAGAGGAATTTTGCCAAAGTCCCGTAGTGAGAGAGACAGGAGAAACACTGCTTATTAGAAACAGATTATGGCGGTTTATAGACTTCTAAATAACCGAATATTCTCGGTTTTACCTGTTTTGGGCTTTTGTTGTGAATATTATGAAGTGACAGTCTTTAGTGACACCTCGGTCTTACCACAGACCAAAGAGTATAGATAATTTATTCTTTAAAGCAATCATGGATAGTCTTTTTAAACAATAACAATTATTACTTTAATTTTGTGTAAACAAGTGAGGACAAAAGAAGAATCTCTGTATCAAATTTCGTCTTTTAAATTAGTTTAGCAGTTTCAGCGTATATTGTTTAAGTGAATAGGCAACAGACAGACAAACACACTCTCAAATTTATAATGTTACTAGTATGAATATTAGAATTTTGACGACCTCCGTGGTCGAGTAGTTTGTACGCCGGCTTTCATGGTGTCGCCGACTCGAGAGGTCCCGGGTTCGAATCCCGGTGGGGGCAGATGTTTGTTTGATGAATACGAGCATTTTTACTCCAGTCATGGATGTTTAATATGTATTTCTATACAAATATACTTATATATGTACAGTATATGTATTCTATCCGTTACCCCTAGCATCCCATAGAGTCTGTGCGGAAACAGTATGGAATTTAGATTGGAGGGCGCTGTAGTGCTTCTCTACTACATTTGTAATGTTTTACCCCTTTTAGACATGATTAAATACAAAAAACCGCAAGAAATCACAACAACAAACAAAATCCGTATCAATACAAAACTTTGACGTATTACAGATTGCTGGGTTTGATTGCCAAATAAAAATCTTAATGTTAGTTCCGTTTTTCGCCACGCCCATTCTCTTTCCGTACAGACTCTAACACAAGCCTTACAGTACTTACTTTGGGGCTAGGCTAATTGATGTGTGTTGGAAAATATATATAAAAAATAGGTCTGATCTTCAGCTTTATCCAGCCTAGAGATAGCATCTACGATACATCAAGCTTACCAACATCCTACCGAGATATCTATGTACCGAGAACAAGTCTGTTCAAGTAAATATGTATTACACTAGCTGTGCCCGTGACTTCGTTCGCATGGGTGTCGAAAACTCCTTATTTTCGAATTTCCATAGTACAGGAAAGGCCCTGTATAATGATAATAATATATAGTAGGATAAAATCACATCATCATCAGCCTATTAATGTCCCCACTGCTGGGGCACAGGCCTTCCCCATGGATGGAATAGGGAGATTGGGCCATGACCCACCACGCGGTCCCAGGGCGGATTGGCGGATGCTAACGACTGCAGATGCAGCCGGGACCAACGGCTTAGCGTGCCTTCCGAAGCACGGAGGAACTCGATATAGTAATTTTTGGTCACCCATCCAATGACCGACCACTGCGAAAGTTGCTTAACTTCAATGATCGCAGCCGAGCGCGCTAACCACCCGCGCCATCGAGCTCCTCCTTCTCCTCCAGCTTGCTCTCTTTCGCGTAAGATTTTTATGGTTCTTCTTTTTATGGTGTACAAATGACTCCACCCCACCTGATGTTAAGTGAAGGTGAAGTCCAGACGTGAAGATAGCTGATACAGCAGTTTTACCTGCCACACCAGCCATCCTCACCCTGCCGGCCTGCATGTTGCTTCTTCACGCCTCTCTTAAAGTATCCCATGTTGTAAGAGGGAGGGAACACGTGAGCGGGCAGAGCATTCCATTTTCGGATAGTACGACATTGAAATGAGTTCCCAAATTTCTTTGTACGCGTCGGAATTGTGGCCACAGTTAGACGGTGACAACGTAAGCCAGCGCGCGTGGTCCTCTGAAGGAAAGGAGAAGGTGGTCAAGATTAGCAATTTTAACTGCAAAAGCCGTGGTCTAAAATGGCTAACTTCTTCGGCTAAATTATTTGTGGCACATATGAGGATTGATCACTTAAGTTTATCAAATGAAACAACCACAGTTTAATTTTAACGTGATTTCTTTAAATATTAATTCAAGTTATGTTAGGATTGCAAAGTTTCCTTAGAGGTGTATAAATGATGATGAGCGTGTACAGAGCACAAAAAATGATCGGTATGAAAACCATTTCCTTCAGCGGTGCCCATTCGTTGAATTTATTGGAGAAGTAAATTCCAAGACAGAAGCATGTTGAAGAGGCTAGCATTGCCGGAACTCCGAAAACCACGTGAGTGCCTTTGAGGCAGTTGGAGAAACCACTTCTTTCAATGGTGCAGAATAATGCAGGCCCGCTTATTAAACTTAAAACAGCAAACCCGCCAGCCGTGAGTCCTGAAACCGATAGAATATTTCAATCGAATGCGACTAAATCATATAATTATTGTATCAGTGCTTTCTTTAAGCCTAATAACAATTTTCGACATTATATTGTTTTTCACTTTCATGGTCACTAACATTATAGTAATATAAGTTACTAGCGGCCCGCCCTCGCTTCGCTTCGGTGTAGAGCTGAAGTGTAGACTACAGTTTTTGTTCTCAGGCTTGTATTATACACAATGAAATTCATCTATGATTCTTCTTATACCTGCATGCAAAGTCTCACCCCGATCGGTTTAAAATTGACAAAGTTTCATACAAACTTTCATTGCCTATTTTATCCCCTTGGGGGTAGAATTGATCAAAATCCTTTCTTAGCGGATGCCTACGTCATAACATCTAACTGCATGCCAAATTTCAGCCCGATCCGTCCAGTGGTTTGGGCTGTGCGTTGATAGATCACTATGTCAGTCAGTCACCTTTGAGTTTTATATATATAAATAGATTTACGGTGTCGAGTATCTGGAATCCTGTGGTTCGTATATGTAAAAACCGAAATAATCATAAAAGTGTCATGCCGCGATCCGATACTGTAAGTGTTGTGTCGAGAACAGTTTCGAGTGAATAGTGAGAATGTAAACAGTGTATCGAACACAATAAAAGATTTCGTAGGAGGGTAGACCGATATGTCTGCCAATAACGTCTACCCGCAATTACTTCAGTTACTCCGTGATCATAGCGCTTGCAACAGTGCCGAAATATCGAAAACTCGCTAAAAAACGAGTTACATGGTAACAATCCCGTTAATAACTTATATTACTATAATCTTCGACATATTATCAACCTAGCAACAGTGAAACAAAAATACTAATATAATTGTTATATCATACACGTGCAGCTCTCCCCTAAATTATTATTGGCACTTGTAATTTGGCTTCAAGGCACAATGATCTCAAAGTAAATGGGTATATTTTGAAAATTATTAATAACCAAAATTGATTGAGATGTTAGGTTGACCTTGTGGTAACGTCGATACTTAAGACTGGACATGCTTATCATTATTAAAAACATTTTAATTAACAATTTGATTTGTAATTATTTTAAGGATAAACTGGACTCTGTCCTTTGTTATCCCGAATCAGAAAATAAGATCATTAAATTAAAATCAAACATTTATTGCATAATATAATTGTAATCTTCTTTCCACTTTACTAGAAATGGGTTACTAACAAAAGGTAATATGCATATTTTTAAATATTTTTATTTAGTAGTTTACATCTCTTTTAAACAGTAAAAATAAAATCAACGTCGAGAAAATAGTATAAATTGTCTAAAAATGTTAAAAATTGCCACTATGCACGGGCAGTTTAAACGCGCGCCATTTTGGAACGCTTGGGTGTGACGTCACGATACATTAAACCTTCAAATAAGATCAATGACCTTACAAGATACTGACATTTTTCGTTCCGTTCCTTCACAGCTGATAGAAGTTACAACCTACGTCCAACCAGTTGCCTACGTTAATCAAATATACATTATGTTTCATACAGTTTTACTCAAAATTTAAACGTCATAGTGAAAAGATGCACTCGGTGACTATTTTTACTTCACAACCGCAACTCTTCGCGTTTCAAATATTTTTAATTTTCCACCAGTTTTTCGAACTTTTAAATCATTAATTTTTTGCTCTAAAAGAATTTTTATCAACAAATATTGATAGAGGAACAACTTAAAGGTAATAAAGTTTTAATAAAAATAAAATGAAGCTTTTGTTGAATGCATATTCCCTATTCACAGAGAAAGGGTTACGAAAATCCAACATTAAAAAAGTCAAATTAAGTACAATGATAAGTACCAGCTATTGAATGAGGTGTAAGGATCAGTCGTATACTTTTGAAACCATCAGGCATGAAAGCCAGCGCCGACCCGCCGAGGGCGCACATAAGCCCGATGATCTGTATGATCATGTGGTGCTTCCGGCGGTCCTTCGACTTCATCTGCGCCGACGGCCCATGCAGGTTGCTCATCATCAGAATGCCCGACGGCATGAACAGCTGGTACTGTAATTAATGAATATTGTTATTCATTCATACTTCAAACCATATCGCGTGTACCTTCTTGAGTAAAGTCGTAAAGATGAGTTTGGAAAGTATTTTTTTTTAATTACGCCTAATTACTCTACTAATAATTAGTTATTACGCATAATTATTGGAAAATATATTAATAGGACTAATCTGATACGAGATTTAAGGGTTCTTCTCGACGAAAAATTAATTTTAGGCAAACATATTGACGAAATGACTCAAAATGCTTTTAAAAACCTTGGTTTCATTTTACGCGAATTTAAGCCTTTCAGTGATCCTAAATCTATTATTAACAATCTATTATGCATACATTCGCAGTGTTTTAGAATATGTGAGTCCTAAAGGAGTCCTACATATATAAATCCCAAATAGAACGAATACAAAAAATATTTGTTAGGTAATCATCTTTGTTATAAACGACGGTTAATCTCAATATCTTATGAAGAAAACTGCTTTCTTAAGAACTTGATAACACTAGAGCAGAGACGTCAGGTATTAGACGTAAGCCTGCTTTCGACATACTCGTATTGCACGGAGAAGTGGATTGTCCCGAGCTGGTGGCTGGCGTGGCATATCGGAGTACGATATGCCACGTCAGCCACTGGCTCGTCAGTCCCGTCGCACTCGGCGCACACCTATATTATCTGTGCCACCGCACGCTACCAACTACGCTAACAATTGCTCCACTCACAAGAATACCTCAGTTATACAACGACCTTTTTGACAAAACAGATATATCTTTATGTTTAAAGTATGCCTTCAAAGCCCATATAATTAACAGCAGAATAATCCTGGCAACCACCAATGCTGAAAATTGCGTTTTATATGGGTTAGTGCATGTACTTATGTGATGTGTATATGTATATGATACGGTATGTGTGTGTATGTCTATAGTGTATATGTTTGCGTATTTATTTTTTTACATTCTGGCACAGTTATGATCTCACTAAATAAAGAGTGGTCATATCATTGCTACCTTAATATAATTAATACTAAGAGAACTCTTATTGGCCCTACTGTTAGAATCTATGTTAAGAAAGAAAACTGTTTATAACGCTGTTTGGCTTCTTAATAAATTAAAAAAAAATGATTCAGTTAGATCGTAGACTGGATAGAAATGCTATATTATTGTCTATGAGTTAAATCAAATGAGGCTTTGAAATTAGTAGTTAGTAGTTACTAGTACACATATTGTTCTTCCGTAAAACAGTGTATTGGAATAATCCCAAAACTACTCAATCCAAAACAAATAATCTTCTAAACCTCTCCCAATATCTTTAGCTTTACTATCAACTAAAATATTAATATCATGTTCTTTATTTTAAGTTTAATTAGGCACAAACAGTACAATACAGATGTTTGGATACCGAATTTATAAAAAGACAAACAGTACACAAAATTACTACATTAAAAGAAGATTTTGGATTAATTTACTTCAAGAAAATAAAACTGTAGGACAACAAAATTGCATGGATCTTAAAACATAGATAAGAAGTTTCTTTTAGTAAGTAATTTAAGAAACTAAGCCTAGAGCTCAAAAGGAATGCACCGTACAGAGCATAACAATAAACAATATTTGAAATTACAGAACCGCAAATACTTTGGTTATATCGGATCACTTACCCCAAACGTACACAATATTATGTGCAGCGAACCCATTAGTGTCGTCTTCAGAGACAACATGAAGTACAGGACTGTCATGAGTGTCGCTCCCAACATGAGCTTCGCCATCCCTATGAACGCAGCGAGACACATCTTCTTCAGGTACACCCGAGTTGGTATATCCATCAGCACGATCTTCACTGGACCCACAAACTCGTGGACGGGTGGCTTGTCCTGGAGGCATTCTAGATTGCAAGCGGTGTCGGCTTTGCTCTGACGATAGCTCAGCATGTTGGCAACGATATTATTAAATTTTTACAAAGGTATTGCATATATTACTTTGAACTTATTTACATTGTTGTTGTGTCATTGTCAAAGATACCTTATTATTTGTGATCAATGCTGTCAGTACTAGGTAAGGCAGATAATATTTCAGAGAGAATAAATAATTTATTCTCTTTGTAGGCGACGCATTTGTGAGTCTGTGCTTTGATTACTAATAGGTAAGGAAAAGAAAATATAAATAATTATTTGTTAAAATCTTCTAAAAATCTTTAAAAACATTGTATCTGATTAAAGTTTTGTGTACTACTAACGCCATCTGTTGAGCTAGAGGAGAACTAAATTAACTTTTTTATTGAAGGTGTTTTTGAATATATTTGTAAATTTAATTTGGTGGTCTACACCCGACACGCTTTTTTTTTTTGTTTCCTCCCAGGCGGGGGAGCGGGTGAGAAATCCTCATGGATACCCTACAGCCGGCTGCAGGGTTATGTCAGACTCTTACTGACTAAAAAACACCCGTTGGGTCTGCCTCTGGCCGGGAAGGCCTTTAAGGCATCATCGGATGCGATCGTCCCCTGAGAAGGGGACGATGCAGCGCTGCCTAGTGATAACTAGCACATATGCGCTCCTTTGACGAGCGGCTCCCTATTGGAGCACGCCCGTATCGGTTTGGTGAGCTGCGGAAGGCCGCTCGCAATAGGGTGGGCATTACAACAGCCAGAGGGGCTGCTGTCGGCCGTGGCCTACTAAGGGACGGGGGGTGCGGTCGTCGCTATTACATTTAACTGAGAGGAAACTCCGTTCCGACTGAAACAAGCCGTTAAGAGTACATCGGGGGCCTAGTGGTTGCTCCGCGCAACACTTTACCCGTTCAAGGGACAAGTAAAGTGTTGCGCGGCGCCACCTAGCGGGGAAATGCTAAAAACAGTGTCTTTAGCCGCCATATGTGGTGTGGCAAATCCAAGCCTTATAGACATTGTAATTTGGCACACCGGCTCAGACGAAAAGAGGACTGCAAGTATAAAAAAAAAAATTTAATCTAACTAGAATGCAACGCTGGGCGACGCCGCGAATGCCGTTGACGCGTTGCCGGCGCTAACTCTTAGAGAGTTAGCGTCTGCAACGCGCACAATAGCGCTGAGTGCTCGCAAAGCGCGTTTAGACGCTCTATCGAGTTGTTGGCCTGCCTCATTTTGGCGGCCAACAGAGTGATTTCTTGGAGATCGACTTTATTAATTATGTTAAACACAAAACCAGGTACGGATACGTACCTGGGCGTTTCTCCCCACCCCTCATGACAACGGCTAACTAGAGCCGAGGTCCGAGTCCCAAAGACGCCCTCTAGTTGAGCCGACCCCCTCAGGTTGGAGACGTCTAGAGGCTCCAGACGGAGAGGAGACCGCCCCCGTGGGGAAATGTCATCTGCCTGGAATACCTCTAAAGGCACTCGCCAATTCTCGGCTTGAACTCCCCTTAGAATCTCGCCGTCCTCAAACCCTTTATCAGCCTATTAATGTCCCCACTGTTGGGGCACAGGCCTTCCCTATGGATGGAATAGGGAGATTGGGCCATGACCCACCACGCGGGCCCAGTGCGGATTGGTGGGTGCTAACGACTGCAAATGCAGCCGGGACCAACGGCTTAACGTGCCTTCCGAAGCACGAAGGAGCGCGAGATAGTAAATTTTTGGTCACCCATCTAATGACCAACCACTGCGAAAGTTGCTCAACTTCAACGATCGCAGCCGAACGCGCTAACCACTTGCGCCATCGAGCTCCTCTCCCTAAACCCGGTGACGCTTTAAAGGTCATTTGCGATCAACAGCGTATACACTCAATAGAAAGAGAAGGGAGAACGAAAAGAAAGACGGAGAAAGAGAAAGGTCGACTGTCGCGCCTGCGCACGTCTCATTTAACGGTTTTATTCCACGCACTTTTTTCCACGGATATTTTCTTACGGTTTTACTATCACATTTTTTTCAGTTCGGTCGCGCAGCAAAATCCCTATCCCCTCCAAGCCTGCCGTAAGGAACTTCGTTCCAAAAAATACCGCCGTAAGTAAGATCGTGTCAGCTCTATCAATTCATTGGCCCTTAGTGTACAATTTTGGGAACAAAACGCTACAAGCAAGGGTATCGGAAGGATGGCTCGAACACGGCACTTATCGTAAAAAATAATGTCACCCGACAATAATAACGTGATGGGCCGTAATAACAATGTGAATAGCTGCTGCTCAGTTACGTTATGGCTGTTAATAATTATTAATGGGCGAATTATACAAACAAGCGAATGATGGTGGATAATTCTACCCACCCATGTTGGAATGGGTGTTGAAGATAAACGTAATTTTAAAGAATGCCATCAAATTCTTTTTTTAAACTTAGGCGACTGTTCATATCGGGGCTTACATATTGTTTTAGAAAAATATTCGGAAAGCAAAGGTTTCTTTGCCAAACAGCTGGCGCATTTCGACAGATGATGAGCACTATAAGTATTTAGATATAAAACTGCCCATTCGTCAATAGATTTTTACTATCCGCATTGGAAAGTAAGCATTAGCAAATAGAATATTCTTTGCTTTTCCTTCGCTCCAAATTAGGAATTTCAAATTTAGTACCTTTATAATAATTTACAAATACAGCGTTCATATACAAAAAAAAACGTCATATTTTTTCTAAAATTTAATAAATTCTAGAAAAAAATATAAATGATTTTTGAGTTTGATTTGGTTGAACGTGCTAATCTCAAGAACTACTGTTACAATTTGAAAAAAATATTTTTGTGTAGGATAGTGCATAAAATGAAATGAAATGAAAAGTCATTTATTCAGTCTAGGCTGTTACAAGCACTAGTGTGTTGTGGTCAAGAAGCTACGCCATCGGTTCACAAAACTACGGCGGGAGACCTTGTACTGAGAAGAACCGGCAAGAAACTCAGCAAGGGCTGCTTTTTTCTCCCTCGATTGTTATATACAGAGTCGTCAAGTTGAAAAATGACTTCAGAGATACTTCTGTAGTCACCTTCCATTACATCATTCGTCGAGGAAGCCTAAGGCTTCATAATAATAAATAATAATAAAGAAAATAATAATAAAGAAAATAACACTACGACTAATAGTGGCGGAGCACCAATTAAAAAGTTACTCAACAATCATGTGTGACATAACTCTTCCCCTGAGAGTTTTAATAAAAAAAGTTCAGCTATTTTTAAAGGGTGACCCACTATAACCTCTTTCCTGCAATAAATGCAAATAAAATCGCAGGCCACCTCTAGTGCATAAGTATATGAAAGCGAATCTCGCATTTCGCATATTATGAGCGATACGGCATTATTTCTCGAGACCATTACCTTTTACAACCGCGGGGGTACAAGACTTTGCTTTTTTGACGTACAATTGTAAGAGCAAGCAGCGCCGTAATAAAAGTTAATGCGCCGCGCTGCCGGGCGGCTCATACCTAACACCTTCATTACAGTAACCCAAATAAAATTTCCAGAATTCTCAAACAGTTAAGTATAACAAGATTTCAAAGAGAATCTCTGAGAAAAAGACTCAACTCGCCATGTACAAGAGAGTTTATTTGAGCCTCTTCAATTACGCCATGACGTGGCGTCACTAAGCGCGTTCTATCGTCTGTACCTTGGCGAGTGTTCTGAGGAGTTATTCTCTCTTATCACACCTTTTCCTTTCCTTCAGAGGACCACGCGCGCTAGCCTACGTTGTCACCGTCTAACTGTGGCCATAATTCCAACGCTTACAAAGAAATTTGGTGACTCATTTCTTTGTTGCACTATCCGTAAATGGAATGCTCTGCCCGCTCACGTGTTCCCTCCCTCTTAAAACCTGGGATCCTTTAAAAGAGGCGTGAAGAAGCAACATGCAGGCCGGCAGGGTGAGGATGGCTGGTGTGGCAGGTAAAACTGCTGTATCAGCTATCTTCACGTCTGGACTTCACCTTCACTTAACATCAGGTGGGGTGGAGTCATTTGTCGGAAATAACTATATAAAAAAGAGAGTTTATACCTGGGAGCGATTTCTGACAGCCCTCTGTGCAGAGCCTGCTTGGAGAAGGAGGAGACGAGCGCCCATGTTCTGCTGGAGTGCAGAGGCGTTGCAAGACAAAGTACTTCTCTAATGGGAAGCCCGCGGACACTAGTAGAAGCCTGTAGCAACATTCGGGGACTGCTGAGCTTTCTGGAGGAGCTGGGATGGCAGGACTGATGCCAATCCCCACGCGAAATAGGCACTGGGTGTCGAGTTGCGGAAACAGCCCGCCGTTCTACTAAGACTACTAAGATTAACATAACTGGGAGCGCGGGCCGTACCTTGCGCAGCGCAACGCAGGCCCTTTTTCTTATATATTACTAGCTGATTCTGCTGACTTCGTACCGCCCAAAAGTAATAATTTGCAGTAAAATATTATTGCAACTATAAATTGAGATGTAAGTTATCCTACCTCTCTAGTTGGATCAAACTGGACATGGTGCAAATTTGATTAAAAATGGTTAAGTAGTTTAGGTGTTCATCCCGGACAAACAAAGTGACGCGTAATTTATCAGGGGACATGACCCCCCCCCCTTCCCTCCCAAATTGAAACATCTCAAAAATTTACCAAATAATAAAAGAAAATTTCTAGCTATCCCCTAACAGCGATAAATTTATAGTTTGCTGACATCTAGTGGTGTTTTTATGAACTACGTATGATGGCAAAATAACTTGGAAATGACTTCTAGTAGGTACTAGTTTAGAACCAAGGAACCGAACTACGTAGTTTTGGTAATTCTAGCAAAATCGGCATGCGTCGTTTCTTCGCAATAATGTTTATTTTATTCCAGATACCCTCTTTTATTCTTTTTATTAGTGTAGTGAGTGACCCCCTCCAAAATTTCAGGCTGCGACCAGGCCTGGTTGACAGCTCATCTGATGGTGTGTGATCACCGTCGTGCATAGACATCTGCAACACCAGGAGTATCACAAATGCGATGCCGTTTTTTGAATGTTTTCAGGTCTTATTGGTCCGGAAACACTGCCGGTGACAATTTGTTCCACAGTTTTGTCGTACGTAGTAAAAAAAATCGACAAAATCGCAATTTGCCTTTCGCCTT